CCGCATAATAAAGTAAAACGGTGACTGACTCATGGGACTGAAAAATTGTAATCATGTGAACTGATTTTTGCTTGCTTCACAGATCAAGACAGGCATTTGTGTCTCTGGATTGGGAAAAGAGAGGATGGGATGGGCCCCTAGCAGAAGCAGGCTCCAAGAAGTGAAAATTTGGCCCAGAAACTCTTTTCCTTGTGGTGTGGCTAATGGACATGGAAGACTGTGCCTGATATTATATTTTAGGATTTCCTTTTCATTACTGTACATCCTTCATTTTATCCTCAAGTAATATAATTCAGCTAAGTGTTGCTCTGCTGAAGGGAATGAAGGGAGGGACTAGAGTGGCATGGAGAAGTGGTGATGGGATGACTAGATTCACATGGTTAGAGAATAGTAACACTAATGATAATGATGATAATGTAAATAATAGTAGCAGTACCAGCAAATGTATACACAGCAATTACCAACTGCCAGGCATTGGTCTAAGCATTTCATACATACATATTATCTTATTTTATCCTGATAATGGCTTTATGAGATAGATACTATTTTTAGCCCCATTTCACAGATGAGGAAACTGAGGTACATAGGGTAAAAGAGTAAGTAGCTTTTTTTCCCCAAAGTGAGAAACCTGGAGGAGAAATCTGGAGGGGAATATTTTTTTTTTTTTGTGGACAGCAAAGATGGGAAGTTGAGTTGTTTATGGATTTGGATAGTAACATAAAGTGTGATGTTGGAAGGTTGAAACACCTGAGCCCACAGGTTCAGCACTAGGGACAAATTTTGTCCACTTCTCTGTATTACCATATGCTGGCCCTGGGCCACAGTCAGCTGAGTGGGTGACCTATGAGACAGAGTCTCATAGGATTATGATATTTAAATTACTGATCCAGTGCCAACTTCCTCCAGCTTGTGGGGAGGAGAGAGTTGGATTCTTTCAGGGCCTGACTGTCCAACTTCACATCTGCAGGGAGACACTTCACTTTCAACTAGTGCCATATTTCAGGGCAAGAAGGATGATGGGATTATGGGGCTCCCAATCTAGTTGGGTCATATATTTAGTGATCTCAGTCAGGAGATCTGACATCAGGGTACTAGAGCTGGAGTCATCTAGGAGCCAGACCAGCTATCTCTTTCTCTCGTCTTATCATTCTGACTCCAGATGACCAGCAAAGTGGGGAGCAGGACTCAAACCATGGGCAGCTGAGTTAGTTGCATATGGTTGCAACATAAGCAGCATCTAAAATTCCAATTTGTATTTCAGAAATTTTCAATGCTTCAGACTTTTTCTAGGGAAAATTTCTAAAGAAGAGGATAAAATGGTACATTTATCAAGTTGACTATATGAGTAAGTTTCCTTCATTCTTTCCATTAAATTCAAATTTTCTATTACTTCTTATGTAAAAACACAATGAAGTAACTTTGGTTTGATTCTCTGTAATACCTATTAGTTAATTTTTCTCTTTGTTGAATTTTGATTAATATATCTAAAACCCTATTTTATGTTTGCTATCAGAGTTTGAATTGAGGAGAAAAATAAAGACATATTGTGGTAACACTAACACATAAAAACTTAGATTTTTTCCTAAAGTATTTTTAGTGCCCAGAGACTATTCATGCATTTTCTCATCTGATCTTGCCAACTCTCTTCAGAGGCAGGTAGACTAAGTATGAAGGTAATCTTTATCTTTATTTTATTCATGAAGAAATCAAGGTTTAAGCTAGCTGGAAGGAAGGGCTGGAACTCCCTGGTTTGATGATCATTTTGGAATCTCAGGGTTCAATGACATATAGATAATGCCATAAGAGCCAGAGACTGAACGCCCCAACCCAGTGTAGTGAGTCCCTCACCCATTTGGAATTATGTTAAATTTTTTGCCTGATTTCTTTACCTGTCCTCTGCCATCACCTCCACCATCTCATGGTGAGCCCACGTGTGTCAGAGTAGAACTGTGTTCCATAGCTTTCAATGGATGTCTTTTTTTTTTTCCCCCCCAGAAGTAACTTGCCAAAGTGATTTTTCCAAGGCAGGTCCAGGTAGACTCAAACCCTCAATCTTTATTTTAGTAGTGGAGCATGTTCACCACTTGGACCACCCAATGACGTTAGATGTAGTTGCAGTTAAATCCTGGTTTTACTTCATCACCTGGGGCAGTAGGTACAAGAATAGGTTTTTCTAATATTTAATTTCATCAACTCTAAGAAGTACAAAATAAGTTGTACTTTTCAGTCTCATTGTAATAATGAAACAATATGCTGCATAATAAAGTGCTGAGTATGCATTCAAATAGACCAATGGCCATAAAGATGTCTTTACCAGTTCTGATTGTTTGGCAAGACATCATCAGAAAGGAGACTTGGCATCAATCTGAGAAGCTGGGATTAAGAAACATTGATCATACACTAAGTCACTTCTCAGTTTGCTCTAAAATAACTCTTTATAAACTCAATAGACAATTTCCAAAAGAGAGAATATACTGGTCAGAAATATAAAAAGTTGTACATCATCAGGAATGATAAAACAAATGCAAATTAAAACACAAATAAGATCAAATGTAGCAAACAAAACAAAACAAACAAAAAACAATAAATCCCAATAACTATTACTGTCTAGAATGAAGAAGTAAGCAATGTAAATTGATAGTGGCCTTTTGGAAATAGATATCAAAAGTATTTAAAATATCTCTATTTTTTTCATGCAGTATATATTTATAGAAATTATCCTTGCTGTTGTTGTTAGGTACCATCGAGTCAGCTCTGACTCATAGTGTCCCTGTGTACAGCAGACTGAAACACTTCCTGGTCCTGCTCCAGCCTCACAGTTCTTGCTGTAACTGAGCCCATCATTTCAGCCACTGTGTCAATCCATGCTGAGGGCCTTCCCCTTTTTCATTGATCCTAGGGATCTAGAAATAGCTTTATTCATGATGAAGTTCTTTGTGATATTAAATACAGTGCTCATTGTTAGATATATGGACTTGACAAAATAATATGTGATCATTAAAAATGCTTTTGAAGAGTTTATAATAATATTGGAAAATGTTTAAAATCTTAATAGAAAAGAGGTTAATATGTTAAATATGTAGTATGACTTAAAAAGTATAAATAAGTGAAAAAAATCTATGCATGGAAAAAATAACAGAATAAAATGCATTGGTAGTTTTTGTTTTTGGGTGGCAGAATTAACAGTAAGCTCTTTTGAATATTTTAAATACTGTCTAACCTCTCTCTAGTCACCATCAGTTATTTTTATAATTATCTTTCCACCTTTTTTTCCCCAGAAGTTCTGCTGCTGCACCATGCCAGCCAAAACCAAAGCTAACAAACACATATTTCCTTTTCGACTGTCTCTAGTCTGAAAGATCTGGGTTCTGAGAGGAGACAGTGAAATTTAGGAGGAGATATGGACTGTGAATCAGAAGACATGGGATAAATATCAGATGTCTCATAACCTAGTTTTTTGTGACATGGAACAGACAAGCTACTTAACCTCTTAGGTCGAAATCTTAGCATTTCTATGCTAGAGGGGTTTGGACAAAATCATTGCAAAATCACTTTCCTTTGTGGCAAAAATGGGAAGCAATGATTAGAGGGGTCCCCTGCAGCCTATAGATAGATGGCTTATTCAGTTTTGAACCTGGACACTTAGGATTGTAGGTGATTCCAAGTCAGAGAAGAGATCATGAAACCATAGATTTTCTCATTTCATTTTTTTTTTTTCTCCCTGCAGGAACTGTCTTTACTGTTATATAGGCATTTAGCACATGCATCAATCAAAGGAGAATGAAGTAGACTAGACGATGCAGGAAGGTGGACAGATGGCCTATTAAGAATCCTGTTCATTCTATAAGTCTGCCATATTAGGACCTAATAAAAATTCTGGTAAGAAGTTATCAGCCTCCTTAGATCCATTCATTGAAACTTTCCTATACATTTTGGTTTTAGGTTTTAATCATTCAACAAATACTCATTGGCACAGCCCTACTCTGGAAATACAGCTATTAAACACATAGAATTCCTATTTTCAAGATACTATCAATATAGAGTGGAAGGTTGAAAGGCGATCAATACGACTTGGTGGGCAAAATGTTATGGTGAAGAAGAAATCTGGATGCTACAAATCTGGGTGTAGAAATACATTAGAAAGCTTTGTAATGTAGCCTAGGGTGGGTAGAGGGCTTCCATGTAGAGAAGATATTTGAGTCTGGTTTTGAAGGATATGTAAGAATAAGACAACCTTTTGATTAGCATCCCATTGAATTTACTATTTGCACCACCCAAGAATTCCACTGTTACAATAGTTATGCATTATTTGCATGTTGTTTTTGTTATTAGGTGCCATGGGGTTGTTCTGATTCATAGTGACCTTATGTACAACAGAACAAAACACTACCTGGTCCTGACTCAACCATCACCCTTATCTGTCTCCGAATTATATAATTACCCTTAACAGAAGCTCAAGTTCCTTTAAGTATCGGGTCCTTCTTTCCTCCTATCTACGCTTGGTAACTACTAATAAACTTTGGTCTCTATATGCTTACCTATTCTTGATATTTCATGTAAGTGGGATCATGCAATATCTGCACTTTTGAAATCGATTTGTAAGAAAGTGTCCTGAATGAAAAGAAGAATTTTTGGTGTAGTAGAAATTTGGAAGTAACGTAAATGTCAAACTACACTTGTTCATAAATCAGTAAATCATAGTGTAGTTAGTTTATGGTCCATCATATAAAAGATTATTAAATTAAAAATATTAAATATAATGTTAGCAAACCCTACAAACAACATGGAAAGCAAAATGGAAAGTGCTTATGGTATATTGTAAGTAAAAATCAGAACACAACATTGTATGCTATAGTTATAATTATCAAAAGCTTTATCTTTGCTGACAATGAACTGGAAGTGAAAACAGAAAAATGCGTCTCTTTGAGACATTAACAAAATTTTCTTGGGACCCTAGGTAAATCTCTTTTCAGCCAAGTCCTCGCTGCAGCTCAGAGTTCATGGATAGCCCACGAAACATCACAGAATTTTTCATGCTGGGACTCTCACAGAACCCTGAGGTGCAGAGGGTTTTATTTGTGTTCTTTGTGATGGTGTACCTGGTCTCTGTTGGGGGCAACCTACTTATCATGATCACTATTATTTACAGCTCCACCTTGAGCTCCCCTATGTACTTTTTCCTGTCATATTTGTCCTTTATTGATACTTGCTATTCCTCATGTATGACCCCCAAACTCATTGCTGATTCCATGTATGAGGGGAGAGCCATCTCTTTTGAAGGTTGTATGGCTCAATTCTTTGTTGCCCATTTATTGGGAGGAACTGAGATCATCTTGCTCACAGTGATGGCTTTTGACCGATATGTGGCCATCTGTAAACCCCTGCACTACACAACCATCATGACCAGGCATCTCTGTGGCCTACTTGTGGGGGTGGCCTGGCTGGGGGGCTTTCTACATTCATTGGTTCAGCTTCTTCTTGTCCTTCAGTTGCCCTTCTGTGGGCCCAATGTGATCAATCACTTTGTCTGTGACTTGTACCCCTTGCTGGAACTTGCCTGCACCAACACATATGTCATCGGCCTGCTAGTAGTCGCCAACAGTGGAGTGATCTGCCTGCTGAACTTCCTGATGCTGGCTGCCTCCTACATTGTCATCCTGCGCTCCCTAAGGTCCCACAGTGCAGAGGGGAGGCGCAAAGCGCTCTCCACCTGTGGGGCCCACTTCACTGTGGTTGCCTTGTTCTTTGTGCCTTGTATATTTATTTACATGAGGCCATCGTCTACTTTGTCCGTAGACAAAATAGTAGCTGTGTTTTATTGTATTCTGACACCCATGTTCAACCCCCTGATTTATACTCTGAGAAATGCAGAGGTGAAAAATGCAATGAGAAATCTCTGGAAAAAATGAGCAATGTAGGATGGAGGACATATGGTACAAGAGAGAAATAAATTACTCCAACCATTCTTGGTAAGAATACATATTGTCATGATAGAGCTGAAATATCATCAAAAGTTTCCAGAATAAAATTCATTGGATTGTTTGAATTTATATCTAATCTGCTAATGTCCTAAATTATCAACCAGACGAATGATTATATGTCATTTTAATTTCTTTTTAACAGTTTGTCTTAATCTACAGAACGTGGAAGTACTGCTACTCCTCCTTTACCTGCATTTGAAACGGAGCCTCCATCAGCCTGGTTCACTGAGTGTCTAGGATGAGGAGAAACCTCTTGCTGATATATGTTGACCATGTAATCTGAACAAAATCAGATTTTGGTTGTGTTAAGCCAATGAGATTTATGGTTGGTTTTTATTGCACCTAGTTTATCCAGACTGAATGCTTGATACACAAAGCCCTCCATCATGTCCTCTCCTACTGTTTCAATCTCTGTCTCACCCATCTCTTGTCGTTGTTAAGTGTTGGCAAGTCATTTCCAAATCATAGTGACCTCACATAATAGAGTAGAATTGCCTCAAGGGGTTTTCTTGGCTGTAATATTTATGAAAGCAGATCACTGAGTTTTTCTCCCACACAATCTGTGGGTAGGTTTGAACCATCAACCTTTCAGTAAGCAGCTGAGTGCTTAACCAGGTCTCTTCTCCAATATACATCCATGTTGAAAAGAATGGTAGTTGAATACTGAATGAATGTGGGGTAACTTCATTCTGGTATGTCTTGTGTACATTAGCCCCCAAACCAACCAACCAACCAAGCAACCAAAAACCCGAATCCATTGCCACCCAGTCAATTCCAACCCATAGAGACCTTGTAGGACAGAGTTGACTGTAACAAGAGTGTAAATCTTTACAGAAGCAGACTGCTTCATCTTTCTCCTGTGGAGCAGCTGGTGGGTTCAAACTGTCAACCTTCTGGTTAGCAGCCTGTGGCAAAAAATCATCTATATATTAATTTTGTTTGATGTTTTACTACCTATAATTAAAACAATTAGTATGACTCACATCATCATTTTTCATAGGCTAAAGTTTCTGAACTGTGGCAAATTATTTCTTTATTTACATAAGGACAAAGGTGCTCTGGGGGCATATTAGGTAAGGCATTTGGCTGCTAACCAGAAGGTCAGTTGTTCAAACCCACCAGTTGCTCTGTGGGAGGAAGATGAAATAACCTGCTTCTGTAAAGAATTACAGACTTGGAAACCCTATGGGGGTCACTATGAGTTGGAATCAACCCCACGGCTGTGGGTATGGGCATGTAGATATAAGAATAAGCTAATAAATAATAAATATAATATATACTATAAAATTATATGATACATAATACATTTTTATGTATTATAATTGGCATTTATAATATTATACAACACAGGTCGCTGGGTGACATAAACAATTTGCTCTCAACTAATAACCTAAAGGTTGGTGGTTTGAACTTATTCAGCAACACCTTGGAAGAAAGGCCTGGCAATCTGCTTCTGTCAAGATTAAAGCCAAGAAATTCCAATGAGGAATTCTATTATATAACACATGGGCTTACCATGAATCTGGGTCAACTCTACAGCAATGAGTTTTATTTTTTATTATATAATACATGTTATAGTGTTGTCAATGTAGTCCTTGTTGTTAGATGTTGTCAAGATGTTTCCAACTCATAGCAATCCTCTGTACAACATAATGAAACACTACTTGGTTCTATGCTATCCTCCTAATTGTTGCTGTGTTAGAACCTATTGTTTGCAGCCACTGTGTCAATCCATTTCATTGAAGTTCTTCTTTTTCACCATCCCTTTACTTTACCAAACATGATGTCCTTCTTTAGGGACTAGACCCTTCTGATAACATGGCCCAAGTATGTGAGACAAAGTCTCACCATCCTCCCTTCTAAGGAGCATTCATTTGTCTATACTTCTTCCAAGACAGAGCTGTTCATTCTTCTGGCTGTCTGTGACATATTCAGTATTCTTCGCCAACACTACCATTCAACGCATCAGTTATCCTTCTGTCTTCCTTATTCATTGTCCGGTTCTCATATGCATATGAGGTTATTGAAAATATCATGACTTGGAACAGACACACCTTAGTCTTCAAATTGACATCTTTGCTTTTTACTAGGTGGATCCACACCCCCCAATATTCAGTCAGTAGCCCAGTGTAAACCATTTGTGCCACCCAGGGACATAATTCTGGTGATTAGAGGATTAAGGAAAAAAAAAATTATTTTTCCTTTTGGCAGAAAGAATAACAGATGTAAACTGAAAATCCTCATTAGATGGAAGGACATTTCCTATGAAGCACTTTTAGATGTTTCTCCTGCTTTAATAGGTCACAATTTTATTATTTTTTACACCTAATGTCAGTAAGGGAGTTCTGGTGGCATAATGCCTAAGGTGCTTGGCTGCTAACCAGAAGGCTGGCAGTTCAAACCCATCAGCCACTCCTTAGAAGGAAGGTTGGGCAATCTACTTCTCTAGAGGTACTGTCTTGGAAACCCAAGGAGGGGTCGCTGTGAGTTGCAATCAATTTGACTGCATTGAGTTTGGGTTTTTTGGTTGAATGCCAGTAAATTATACTTAAACCTCAAATTTTATGTTCCATAATACCTGAATTCTATCAATCTATTTAAAATCCAAACTTCTTATTATGTTCCTCAGGGCCCAGCATGGTCTAGATCCTATAATTCATGATCTCAACCTCATCTTGTTTATTGTCACTTGTTCACACTCCAGCCGTTGTAGCCTGGTCTTGGTTCCTCCAACATATCATTCTCTTTCCTGCTTTGGACTTTTATACGCATGGTTCTCTTTGTTTAAACAAACTCCCTTTTCTTTCTTCGTGTCACTCAGTCTTTTTCATTCTTTACGTCTCAGCTCACATGTCACCTTCTCAGGGAAGACTTCTTCACCCCTTACTTCAAGGAGCTCTGTACTAGAATCAAGCCTATTAGTCTCCCTGTCAGCTAGTTGTTTCCTTCATATCATTTAATGTAATAGATTTCATTTAATAATTATTTATTTATTTTTCCTTGATTCTTTTTGGAGGTGGCCAGTGTTCCATCTAGAGTGACATTCGTGGTTCATTGGTAGAATTCTAGTCATCCATGTGGGAGACCTGGTTTTGATTGACAGCTATTGCATCTCATGCAGAGCCATCGCCCATATGTTAGTGTATGTTGTATGTTGTATGATGTTCAACAGGTTTTAGTGGATATTTGAAACTGAAATGAACTAGGAAGAAGTGATTCTATGAATCAGCCCATGAATAGTGTATTGATCAAATGATGTCTCAAGACTGGGTACTGTTCATTTCTTTGTTCATAGGGTTGCCATAATTTGGAGGATGACAGCAGCTAACAGCAGTAGCATGGCCCTTTTAAAGCAAAACACCACACTGCAAGGGAATATGTTGGTCTCATTCACTATGATATTCCTGGCATTTAACAAAGTGTTATCTTTTATTTAGGTTGTTGTTGCTGTTAGTTGCCTTCAAGTTGGCTCATAATCATAGACTGATTTGACTTTAGGGCCTGAATAAATACTTATCGAGTGATTGCAATAGTGGAAGTGAAATTCAAATTCAGGTTTTTCTGATTCTTTGAGCCCTCTACATAGTGAAGGCATATCTAAAGGTATTCTTCACTTAGCTTTGTGGGGTGAGAATGAAAAATGTAACGTATGTGAAAGGACCTCGAGCCTGTGCTCACACACAGAAAGTGCTCTATAAGTGCTGTTGATTTTCTTGTTTTTAGTCAATAAACTCCCTAACAAGCCTAGCCCTCCAACATCAGTTTTTTAAATATCCTAGGTCCTTTTCCCACATGACAATTTATGGATTCTCTCTCTAGGCACTAGATGGACAGTTGGCACTTCAATGAGACAGAATAGAAGTTGTTCCCTTGTGATATCAAAACTGTACTCAAAGGGATTAATTAGATGATGCCAGCAATGCCTTTCTCATCTGTGAACAAGGCAGAAGCTAGCTCCTACATGGCTTCAGGAAGTGGCCTTGTGAGGGAAGAATTAGTCTCCCTCAGAGAGGCAGAAAGCACACAACCCTTATAATAGCTATGTTATCATTCTCACCTTATAAATTACCCTTTCAGTGGTTGGAGAAAGATTTTTCCCTGAGACTGTACTGATGAGTATGGCTAGCTTAAAGTGGAGCTCACAAGCCAGCTATATCTTCTGTGCCCCTCTGTGAGACTTTTCTCCCTAATGTTAGCAGCAGTGCCTTTTTTGGCCAGAGGTATACACCATGGAAGATGATGGTTATATCAGAAAGAATGCAGGCTGGATTGGAGAGTGACCAGTGTTCCGGCATCACTTCTTCCATGAACCACCTGTGGCTTTGGATCAGCTGCCCCAGGGTCTCAAGTTCACCATCTGTAAAATGAAGGCAACTTGAAAGACAAATTGAAATGTCATAGAGTTCTCCAGCAAAAAAAAAAAGGAAACCAGATGATAACGATGAAGTTCCAGCTGCTTGTAAATGCCTGACCTTTTTTTCTGGTTTTCACTCAGAAAATAGTAGCACTCTGAGAAATTTCAGTTCAGATGAGATTCTGTAATCAATAACAATTGTCCAAACTGTGCTTTTCTTCACCATAAAAAACAAGTAGAAGCTCATCCAGAAGTTTAATCATGTGAAACAGTCCAATTTGGGATGATGAGCTTGAAGCTGGCTTAGATAACCTTTAAGAACTCTTCCCAGTCTATTGTTCCATGATGGTAGCATGGAAAAAAAAAAATCCTGAACACCTCTCAATGTCTCCAGAACCAGTGAATGTAAGTTTTCCACAGCCTATTTTTAAAAATTAACTAAAATGCAACTAAAAAAATGCAGTGAAATGATTTTAGTAAAAGTCTCATTAATTTCCATAAAATAATTTTCTTTCTCATGTTAAGTTAAACAAGAGACTTCTTTCTTTGCTAGTTCATTTTTTTTAAAATTTATTTTTTACCCTTAAAAAGTTGCATCAAAAAGATGAATTAATTGAGCATTTTTATTTTTGGGCATATAAATTCATTGTTTGGCTACAAGATATATCACCCAATATAGATCACATTTTGTCCAGCTTCTCCTGTTCTGCATAAGTATCAATATTAAGGCATTTTTTAAAAAAAATAATAAAATTCTACCTATACCAGTACCTGCTTACAATTAAAGCTTGCTTCGCTCCTTAAGCCACATGAAGAATTCATTGCCCACAGTGTTGATGATGTGATAATCAGAGATGTCATTTACTGAAAGTTTATTACATGCCTGGCTCTGTTGGAACATTTGACATGTATTGTTTCATTTGCTCCTTTTTGTGACCTGAGGGGGTCCAGTTGCCATTGAGTCAATTCCAACTCATGGAGACTCTATGTGGGGCAGAGTAGAACTGTGATCCGCAAGGATTTCAGAGCTGAGATTTTGGAAGTAGCTCACCAGGCCTTCCTTCTAAGGCCCCTCTGGGGGCATGCTGTCAGTTAGCAGCTGGACGCTTATGTGTTTGCACCACCCAGAGGCTCCTGAGGAGAGAGCACTACCATCTTAATTTATAGATGAGGAAATAGAGGCTTTGACAGCTTGGCATTGTTGATAGTCACACAACCAATCAATGTCAGAGGAAGCATTTAAACCCAGGAGTGAACAAGTGATAGTGTGGTGTAGTGGTGAAGCACACAGAATTTGAAGTCAGACTGCCTGGGTTCAATCCTCAGATTTTCCACTTATTAGTTAGGTTTGCTTCCATAAGTTGCTAAATGTGCACCTTACTACCCTCTTCTGCAAAATAAGGATAAAAACAGTAACATACCTCATGGGGATGATGTAAGGTTTAAGTAAGTTCATTTACGTAAAGCAGTTAGGGCAGAGCTTGGGAAAGACTAAGTGCTACATAAAACCAAACCAAGCCAAACTCACTGCCATCAAGTCGATTCCGACTCGTAGCAACCCCCTTTTGGGTTTTTGAGGTGGTAAATCTTCACAGAAGGAGATTGCCCAATCTTCCTTCCATGGAGTGGCTGGTGAATTTGAACTGCCAACCTTCTGGTTAGCAGTCAAATGCCTTAGGCACTATGCCACCAGAGCTCCTTTAGTGCTACTACAAAGGACTTTACTTTTATTACTGCAGTCTGTGCTCTTGGGCACAGTATTATAATCTGAAAAGGTCCCATCAGACTTGTCACTAGCAGAAGATCTATCTGTCTTCTTGAAAATGGAGAGGAAAAGAAGGAAAAGGAAACAGCTTCCCAATCAGCCCAAGGATCTTCTCTCCAGTATTTCTTATATCTGTCTGCCTCTTCCTTTTTCTGACATTTAATGGTTCTCCTTTGAGTCTTAGCATACTCATCAACATATCTTCAGCAAGTTGGAAGATTTAGCTACTTTAGAGGGTCTATGTTTGTAGAGACGATAGTGGTGGTTCACTGGTAGAGCTCTTGCCTTCCATGCAGGAAACCCTAATTTGATTTCTGGTCAGTGCACTCCATCCACAGCCAAATTCTGTGTCAGTGGAGCTTTGTGTGCTAATGTGCTTGACTACTAACCAGAAGGCTGGCAGTTCAAACCCACCAGCTACTCCTCGGAAGGAAGGTTGGGCAATCTACTTCTGTAGTGATACTTCTTTGGGAACCCAAGGAGGGGTCGCTGTGAGTCGGGTCTGACTCAATGACACAGAACAACAGCAACAACAACAACAACAACAACAACAACAACAACAACATGATGCTGAACCAGTTTTAGCAGATCTACCAGACTCACATGAACTGGGAAGAAAGGCCTTGTGATCTATTTCCAAAGTCCACCAATGAACCCCTGTCTGAAAATCACAATAGTCTGGTCTACACCCTTTCATGAGGATGGCACAGGAACTGACAGTGTTTTGAGATCATCAGGAGTTGGAGAGTGTCTTGACAGCAGCTAACAACAATAAATGTTTCTATAAAAAGAGTGGGTTGGGGGGGGTTATGACAATTTTTAATTCAACCAAAATCCAGATAAGCACAGGAATTTCTTTAATATCACTAGGAGAATATAGGGTAGTTGGGTAGGAGTGTTCTTGGGAGCCCTAGTGACACAATGGTGAAGTGCTCACCTGCTGACTGAAAGGCCAAAAATTGGAACCCAACAGCTGCTCTTCAGGAGAAAGATGTGGCAGTGTGGTTTCATGAAGATTTACAGCCTTGGAAACCCTATGGGGGCAGTTCTACTCTGTCCTTTAGGGTTGCTAAAAGTTGGAATTGACTGATAGTAATGGGTTTATTTGTTTTTTTGCTAGGAATATTTGGCCAAATAAAATGATAATTTATAGCTGGTTAAGACAAGGGTTCTCTCTCCCTGCCCCTGTAGCCTTCCTTATATAGAGAATAGATAATTATTTAATTGAATCTTTCACTGAAGTTCATCAATATTTTTTATGTTGAGTCATCTCCATAGTCTGTAGAGGCACTAAACCAAACAACCAATCTCACTGCCATCGATTCATTTCCAACTCATAGTGACCCCTCCTTGAGTTTCCGAGGCGATATCGCTACGGAAGTAGATTGCTCAACCTTCCTTCCGAGGAGTGGCTGGTGGGTTTGGACTGCCAGCTTTTGGTTAGCAGTCAAATGCCTTAGGCACTATTCCACCAGAACTCCTGTAGGGGGACTAGCAGCCTTTAACTGCTAATTAAATGTATTTGACCAGGTTCAAGGATTGCAAAACATAAGTGTATAAAATTATAAACAAAGGGACAAAGTAATTTAAACTGGTTTCCTAGACATGATACTGCCATCATGTAGGCACTAATAGGAGTAAATGAAGAAGGAGAGAAATGAAGTTGGATAAATGTTCAGTCATTTCCTCCCAAACCTGCTTAAGTTTGTTTTTCATCATTTATGTCATTAATATGCATCAGATGCTTAGACAGAAAGTACAGCCAAGAAGAAAGCTTTTATCCAAAGGGGATGCGCTGTCCATGCAGAATTTTGGGAGTTCCCAAAAATTCATGATTTTCTGAAGTGCTGTCATCTCTACATGGAGCCATGCTGAAAATGTTGAGATGACCTCCACTTTGAATTAGAAAAGCCATGTCTGCCCACTGTTCATTCTCAGTGCAATGAAGGAAATGCAGGTTTAAATAACTAAGTTATTATTTTCATTTAGTAAGTTGGATGTTTAGTGATCAGTAGTGCTAAAGTTAAAAGATAGACATATACTCATATTTTGTGATTAACAGAATACATTGGTATAAGAATTTTGGGACAGATGAGATTAAGAGAAAGAAGAATCTGGAAAAGGAAGTGAGTGTGGCTAAAGAAAACCTTGCAGTGCTTCAGCCCCCTTCCCCCTGGAACTAGTCTGTTACCATTGTTTCTCTCTTGGGTCTGTAGGTCAAACTGTGTGTCAACATTCTCAGTGTCTTTGGGATATATGGAAATACCACACAATATCACAGAATTTTTCATGCTGGGACTGTCACAGAATCCAGAAGTACAGAAAGTTCTCTTTATGGTATTTTTGATTATCTATGTGGTAACAGTTTGTGGCAACATGCTTATTGTAGTTACCATCACCTTCAGTCTCACCCTCACCTCCCCCATGTATTTCTTCCTGGCTAATCTTTCCTTTATTGATACTTGCTATTCTTCCTCCATGGCCCCTAAACTCATTTCTGATTCTGTATATAAGGCAAGAATCATCTCATATGAAGGCTGTATGACTCAGCTCTTTGGAGCCCATATTTTGGGAGGTGTGGAGATAATCCTGCTTATAGTTATGGCCTATGACCGCTATGTGGCCATTTGCAAGCCCTTGTACTACTCGACCATCATGACTAGGCATCTCTGTGCCCTGCTTGTGGGGGTGGTCTGGCTGGGAGGCTTTCTACATTCATTGGTTCAGCTTCTTCTGGTCCTTCAGTTGCCCTTCTGTGGGCCCAATGTGATCAATCACTTTGTCTGTGACTTATACCCCTTGCTGGAACTTGCCTGCACCAACACATGTGTCATCGGCCTGCTAGTAGTCGCCAATAGTAGCATGATCTGCCTGCCGAACTTCCTGATGCTGGCTGCTTCCTACATTGTCATCCTGCGCTCCCTAAGGTCCCACAGTGCAGAAGGGAGGCGCAAAGCTCTATCCACCTGTGGGGCCCACTTCACTGTTGTCTCCTTGTTCTTTGTGCCTTGTATATTTACCTATATGCGTCCATCCTCTACTTTATCTATAGACAAAAACATGGCAGTGTTTTATGGTATTCTGACACCCATGTTGAATCCACTCATTTACACCCTGAGAAATGAAGAGGTAAAAAATGCTATGAGAAAGCTCTTCATACAGTAAGATATTGAAGTCAGATAATGAGTGGTAAAGCAGAAAATAAAAATGACTTATTCTTCTAAATGAAAAAAAACAAGGCTTGTGTTTTGTTACTGCAAATCATCTTAGTCCATCTTATCCATTCCTTCATTTCCATAGGCTTTTATGGTTCACTTAGTCTTTTTATGTGAATTGCATAATATGAGTATCAAACAACCCCATGGAACAGATATGGCATAAATGATTATTATACCACTTTTAGAAAGAAGGAAAATGGATTTCCTAATGTGGTTAATTTATTAATGAATGTTATGTAGCTTTGAAGTGCTAAATCAAAAGTCAAAATCAGTTATTTCTGATCTCCTGTCCAAATGTTTAAATAGCAATCAATGTTGATGTCTGTAGTAGTTAAGGTTGTGTGTCACCTTGGCTGGTCCATGAGTCTGAGTGGCTTGGCAGCTGGATGCAGTTATTTCCCATGATGAGACTGGAATGAACCCCATGGTGGAAGATGCTGTGAGCAGCTAATTGATTGCCTTCGTGATGTGGTCTGCTCCCAGTATATATGGAGAAGCTTTGAGGAATGTCTCTAGATTTTTGGCACATCTGGATCTTGCATTTGGCTGAATCGCCAGTGGCATGCTATGTTGCCTGCTGATTTGAGGACTGCTCCTGGACTTGAACTAGTGACCTGGTGTGTTGCCTGTGAATCTTGGGACTGTGCCATTTTACATGACGACCTTGGGTTTGTCAGCCTCAACAGCCAGCAGCTGTCTGAGTTAGAAGTTGCCTCTGGCTCCAGTGGGGCTGGAATAAGAGTCAGAGATGACGACCAAGGTTGAGGAACTTTCATCTAGCCCCTAGAGCTGGAATGTGTTTGGACTTCTAGCCTTCTAAAGTGTAAGAGAATAAACTCCTATCTTTTTAAAGCCACCCATTTGTGGTATTTCTGTTATAATAGCACTGCAGAACCAAGACAATGTCATTTGAGTTTGTGTGATAATTAACTGAGTTATAGAAATACAAGGCAAAATTTAACTCAAAATAATTTCACTCTTAGCCACATATAGCAGCCCACATGTATTCAGGCCTGGCTTCTATTCCCTGTCATCACCCTTAAGATATTGTTTCTGGGTGGTGCAATTAGTGTGCTTGGTTGCCAAATGAAAGGTTGGATGTATGTCCACACTGATGTTGTTGTTGTTATGTGCCATTGAGTTGGACCCGACTCACAGCGACCCCTCCTTGGGTTTCCGAGGCAGTATCACTACAGAAGTAGATTGCCCAACCTTCCTTTTGAGGAGGGGCTGGTGGGTTTGAACTGCCAGCCTTCTGGTTAGTAGTCAAATGCCTTAGGCACTATGCTACCAGAGCTCCACACTGAGGCACCTTAGAAGAAAGGCCTGTCAATCTACTTCTGAGAAACTAGTCATTGAAGTAATGAAGCTATTTATTGAAACTAGTCAATGAAACTAGTCCTTGAACTAGCATCATTCTACTTACATGGGGTTGTCATGAGGCAGTATCAACTCTTTGGTAACTGGTTAGGTTTGGTTTTATAGCTGATATAATATGGCAGAGAGATTTAGATCTCTGGCTCTGATATGAATCAACCTGAATTTGAATCTTATTTCCCACGCTTACCAGTGACCTGGGAGCTCTGGTAGCATAGTGGCTAAGACATTTGACTGCTAACCAGAAGGCTGGCGGTTCAAACCCACCAGCCACTTCTTGGAAGGAAGATGGGACAATTTACTTCTGTAGTGATACTGCCTCGGAAACCCAAGGAGGGGTCGCTATGAGTCGGGTCCAACTCAATGGCACATAACAACAACAACACCAGTGACCTTGAATAAATGACAAAATATAAATCTCTGATGCCTATCTTTCAAATAAAGATAATGATAACACGTATCTCAAAGCGATGTGAGGGATAGTCTTTGTTAAGTTCTTATTCCAGTTTCTGCTATAGAAGGCTTTACATTCTGAGGCACTTGGTGTGTATAAATAGGACAGCCTGAAAGCAGAGCCTTAACTGCATCTTAAGTCTTGACATGAGTCTAGAATCGATGTTGGATTGTAAAGTTACCTTTTCTAACTTAAGTTTCTCTAACCTTCGTGTGACCGAAGCACACCCTAAGGGAAATGTGTTGAGCAGATGCACATTGGCACAGCTTGTTCCCAGGAGGTCTTTCCTTCACTGTCCGACAGATACAGAGTGTGATAGCCTATGTCCAAAGGGTCTTGATACCCAGCATTATCGATAAATCTTCTTTACAATGGATCCCCAGGAATAGATATGCTTGAGAAAGCAGTGTAATAACAGGTCCCAGAAAAATATGTCCTGCCATTGTCCTGTGACCATCCTACAATTAGGTGAAAAGCATGTATACTTGCAATTAAGTATCCTTAACCAATCATGTAATCTCACATAGATGTTATCCAGTAGCCCAGCTAAGTCTCTGTTATCAGATAGCCCACCTTCAACTTCCCCAATTGTCTTTCAGCCAATCATGATTTTGTAGCTTTAGTTGATGCTTCAATTGTATAATAATGCTACCTTTTTTATTGTCTGGTGGAGTGGTGATCTTCACTCTGTAAACTTGGATGTTTTCTAAGTCTGGACTGTCTCTGGACTTTCAATAAATCTCTTTGATTTTAATTTTACAGAATGTATGTTTTCACTCTAGGACATTTCTGGGGTGTATTCAGCAGAATATGATATGAAGGTATCTCATCACCGAATGTGTCGAAAAGTCATTGGACCTGGCATTTAATGGTACCAACCCAAGAGCTCTTTGTACTCCAGCTGCCTCCTGGCTCTCAGAGGTGGTCTGAAGTGAGTCCTCGTGAATCCTCAGTCTCTACACTATTGCATTTGACTTTTTTTTTTTTTAAGGTTAGGATTTATTGTAAAGTCCTTTTTCTCTCTGCTTTAATTTCCTCCGCCTATCTGCTGGGCATCAAAGCAAAAGCTGAATTAGGCTTGACTGTACTCACATTTAGTGGCCAAATAATTGTCAGTGCTCTGAACTTTTTGCTCTTTCATCTATATAGATGACAATTAAGGGAATGCATAGGTTGTTGTTGTACATTGAGAGGTATGTGTTGCTGCTTGGTAAGATGGAGAATGCCATGTTTGAAAACCAGGCTGTGCCTCCCCCATGCACTCCACCAGCTTACATGTGTAAGCTTTATGACCTCTTGTTTACACAGTGAATGCTGTCATCTGATTACCATGACTTGTTTAGAAAATTAGTGGCTACTTTGTGGCAGTTTGGAGCTAGATAAACTCTCTTTTCTGCATGGAAAATTAGAAGCTAAGGGCTCCCATGAAAAGCAGGCAAATAGGAGACATTTTATAATTGCTATTTTGAGGCACCCAAAAACATCAAGAAATTGAACTAACCTCCCTACAGGATACTATATTGAAGAAAGCTAAGAAGATCAGGGATTTGCAGTGCTACAGCTCTGTAAACATCTGAACAGTCAGCTCCATTACTGCTGACTGATCCCCTCCAACCGCTGCTGTGGCTTGCTCTTTCTCCTCCATTGGTCTCTCTGGCTACCACTTTTCTTTACCCTTCTTTTCCATCTTACTCTCATCAAAGTACTTTGCCCATAACTTCCCTGTTACCTCACTGATTCTGAAAACCAAGAGAAACCTCTGCCAGACATGCCTTTTAAAATTCATCTTGCATCACCAGGATAGCCAATAGATGTGGAGACAATCTCAAAGAAACTAGTCTTTTGTCCCCTGGTTCCATATTGAGCTGTATTGCTAAAGAAAATAGCTATATTGCTAAGGAAAAGTTATATTGCTATAAAGCTATATAGCTAATATTGCTAATGAATTCCAAAATGTGCAGAAGGAACCTTATAAATTTGCTAAAGAATTTGAGATCCTTACTAATGGATACCAGCTTGAGTCGCTTGATTTTTATCAATTGGTTTATATGATAATGAGTGCAAAAAACTCACTCACTGCCATCAAAACTCATAGTGATCCCCATTGGGTATCCAAGGCTGTAAATCTATAGAAGTAGTTTGCCCCATCTTCCTTCTGCAGAGTGGTGGGTTTGAACTGCTGACCTCTTGGTTAGCAGCCAAATGCCTTATCCACTATGCCATCAGAGCTCCTCATAGTGAGTCCAGGGGATGGCCAAATATGGCTAGAACCTGCCAAAAGGAAAAATGTCCAAGCAAGTGTTACTTTAGATCCCAGTAACACTCCTGGGCAAATGGTTACAGTGGCTCAAATGAAAGCAAAAAGTACAGAAGCCTTTAGTGAATCTTTTCCTCCAGTGGTAGGTAGACTGGACAAAAATTTAATCTTGTACTCGAAAGAAAAGTCAAATTGTTTAGGATTATCAAGATAGACTATATCATAAATTTAATGAGCATTCTGGCCTGTCTGGATCCTGAAGACTTGGGCAATTTAGGAGCTTTTAATGAAGCATTTGTTTCTGGACTTCCTAGAACTCAGCCCTAGTAAAGTTAGAAAGATCTAACCTGAAAACTACACCTATGGTTGAACTTATATCCTTAGCCTATGGGTTAGCTCAAGCCTTAGAGATAGAAGAAACCACTACCACCAAAGGAGTGATGGCTGCCCAGGTGGAAACAAACTAAACTCATGTGTTTGTGATACAACAGCTCCAAGCCCAAACCACAAAGCAGCTTTGGCCGGCAGAAGGCCAGAGAATTTGGGCCATGCTCCATTTTCACCCTTTTATTCCAAGAATCCTGCACAGATTAAGGATTTCCTTAAGTTTAAACACAACAGAGTTAGATTCCTATTTTCAGCCAATATACCTGAAACTTAATGAAGGGACTTTGGAGAACACATAGATAGGGTCTTTTCCAGTATTGGCACTGAATTCCCAAAGAGAGACTATTCAAATTAACAGAGAATGTTGTAAATTGTAGTTGATACAAGTGTCACTCTTTCAGCTCTGACCCACACATTTTTACTAAAGCATATGCCCTGGTGTAAAAAACCTTTGAAGTTGTGAGAATAACAA